TCGGCGTCGGCGTCGGCGTAGTAGTAGTAGTAGTAGTAGTAGTAGTAGTACTAGTAGTAGTAGTAGCAGTACTACTACTACTACTACTACTACTACCACTGCTGCTACTACTACCACTCCTGCTACTGCTACTGCTACTGCTACTACTACTACTACTACTACTACTGATACTGTCCTACGTCCTACGTCCTACTTACTACTTACTACTTACTGCTTACTACTTACTAGTACTACTACTACTATTACTACTACTACTACTACTACCAATACTACTACTACTACTACTACCACTACCACTACTACTACTACTACTACTAATACTACTACTACTGTCCTACTACTACCACTACCACTACCACTACGACTACTACTACTACTACTACTACTACTACTGTACTACTACTACTGCCACTACCACTACGACCACTACTACTACTACCACGACTACTACTGCTGCTGCTGCTGCTGCCGCTGCTACTACTACTGTCCTACCACTACTACCACTACTACCACTACCAATACTACTATTACTAGAATAACTACTACTACTACTACTACTACTCCTACTCCTACTCCTACTCCTACTCCTACTCCTACTGCTCCTGCTCCTGCTCCTGCTCCTACTGCTCCTGCTCCTGCTCCTGCTCCTGCTCCTGCTCCTGCTCCTGCTGCTGCTACTACTACTACGACTACCACTACCACTGCCACTGCCACTAACACTACCACGACCACCACAACTACGACTAGGACTACGACCACTACCACTACCACTACCACTACCACTACCACTACCACTACTACTACTACTACTACTACCACCAATAGCAGTAGTAGTAGCAGTCGTCGTCGTCCTAGTATTGGAATAGCCTCCTCTTAATCTGCCCTCGGGCTGAGGCGGCTCACGACGGTACGCTAGCTTGGAATGATCATTTTCTTCTCTAGATGTTCCCCCTGTGGCTCGCAAAAGGTATGTGTCACCTTCCTCCTCTAATCCTTTCCCTCGGATGGCTCACAAAAGGATGCCACCTTGGAATGGCACCTTCCTGTTTTTAATTTTGCCCTCAGAAGGCTCGCAAAAGGAACGCTAGTCAAATTTTTACCCTCGAGTGGGTCACAAAAGGTGTGTCACCTTGCTGTCGGCGCTGCTCACAACAGGTAGAATTGTTTGGAATGGCACCTTTCACCTTTAAATGTTACCCTGGGGCGACCCACACAAGGTATGCTTCATTGGAACGGCACCTCCCGCCTCTATATTTACACGCAGGGCTCACACACGGTAGGTTACATTGGAACAGCACCTTCCTCTTTGAATTTTGAGCTCGTGTGGCTCACAAAAGATATGCTACATTGAAATGGCCCCTCTCAGGGCTCACAAAAGGTATGCTACATTGGAAACTCACCATCGAGCTCACCCTTCGAAACCACTGGCGAAAGGCAAGGTGGCTTGAAAGAGACAGGTTTCCACGGAACATGTTTCGGACAAAGTGAGAATGCCAAGCGTCAAACAACACAGCAAGAAAGTCGACGAGACGATCGAACGTAATGGTGATCGACAGTTCAACAATGAAATCTCCAGGGTCGGGGAACCAGGAGCAAACATCACCGAGTGCATGTCAGAAAAAGGAGTCGGCCACGAAAGAATCTGCCAAAATCTGATTCGGGGAGGGGCACCTCAAGCCGGACAAACAAAAGAACCAACGACAAACACAAACAAACCTTGAAAGTTGCCCTCGTCATGTCCTCCAAAATTACAACACATGCAACATATGAAAAACAAAACAACAGAAATCGGGTTTCGTACAAAATTCTTGACAACTTGCTCCACATCAAAAAAGCACTCATCAAATTATGTGATTGAAGTCCCCAGTCCCCCCACCCACCCACCGCTTCACTACACACACAGTTAGAAGCCCGGCAAAATCATGCCCTGAGCACTTTCAAGAACCGGTAGCGGGTAGCATTTGGACGGATGTGGTGTACATCGTATCATGAGATGTGCTGGATGAGTCGGATGAGCTGGTGTCTGTTGTGGCGGTTGTCGCTGGCACGAGGTTGTCTGCACCGGGTGCACTTTGTGAGTTTCAACAGGGGTACGGGTTGTCAATTGGCGCAATGGCCTCCACCCTAGTAACGATGACCTCCAATCTAGTAGCTAGCGATGGCCTCCAACCTAAGAGCGATGGCCTCTACCGTAATAGCGATGGTAGGGGGTTGCCAAACATATAAGAACGCATCAACGCAGTCAACCTGTACAAAGCCCTCACAGACCTCGGATGGCCGGGATGGAGCTGAAGATGCTGAAGTGCATGATGCCAATATGACCGCTCAATCACGAATCGCTTGCATAGAAACAGGAAAGTTAGTGCGAAGGTATGTTACGCTTTTCTTGGTGCGACGGCGCTCTCTCATATGAGGTTGCTGCGGTTGCTGTGTCATATGAGGTTACTAGTTGCCAACGCTGGATCCCCAAGTTGCCAGGCCTTATTGACCAAGTCAAAGTACTCTTTGGGCTTGTCAAAATATTTGCTGCCAACTTCGTACATGCCAGTGACTCCACCCAGGAAGCAGAATATCGATTCAGTTCCATGACCACCATCGCACATTTCCACACATGTGTGGTGCTTAAAATACGCCTGGCAGGCGAACAGGCGGGCGAACAAGACGACACAAACAGACTTTTTCCGCACGCCTACAGCACTTGGCCTTTTTGGTTGAATGAAGTCATGAATGTTAGTTGGAGGCCATCGCAAGAGAGAACAGGAAAGGCAAGAATCTGCACTGTTTGTCCCCTCCCCTTCGCCTTCTCAAGAATGGATACCCAGAACTCATCCTTGTCCCTACTCGAAGCCCATCTCAGTTTAGAGCTGCTTCTCATGCCTTGGCAGCACCAAGAAAGGCTGTGCGCTTCTTTCAAACTAAAAAGCATTGATGTGTCTTTTTGGAAGAAGATCAAAGTTTTTTTGAGGCTGACCTTAGTACACAGAATGCGCACGTGGCATCAGCATTGGGTTTGGTTCCGCATTGCATTCCTCATCAAAATTTGGTGCATGTACAGACAAGAAAGATCATTGACACAAGATAGTCCCAAGTCTGGACATGTCTGGGCTTCTCATGGTTTCACAAGCGATTCTTTACTCATGAGTGCCGTTTTTTGCACTGAGTCTGAACCTGGACTAGATGCCCATGTTGTCATCGATAATCTCGTAGACGAAATGTGATTCGATGCAGAAGAGTATCCCATATACCTCAACATTGACAGAAAGTAGACGACAGTTTTCCCACAAAACGACATAAATCAGATCCAGGTGTAACCTACGCATCGCAGCCGAGCGTAAGTGTGACTTCTCTGTCGACATGTTTGCTCGGGCACAACTATCCGGAACTGTACTCTCTAACTCTTCGCCCTAGCCCCCTGAGAATAGATCTCAAAGAATCAACATCTCCGCCACCTAATAGCAACGGCCTCCAACCTAATCGCAATGCTCTCCAACCTACTAGTGATGGCCTCCAACCTAATAGCGATGGCCTCCAACCTAAGTCCAACCAACTAGCGATGGCCTCCAACCTGATAGCGGTGCCTCCAACCTAACGGCAATGCCCTCCAACCTACTACCGATTGCCGCCATCCTAATAGCGATGGCCTCCAACCTAATAGCAATGCCCTCCAACCTACTAGCCGTGGCCTCCAACCTACTAGCAATGGCCTCCAACCTAATAGCGATTGTGCCCTCCAACCTAATGCAAAGACCGGATTAATAAACCCCCCCCATGGTAGGTCAACAAGGTCAAGAAGGTCTGAGATACCACTCATGAGGTCCACCCCCCCGAATTATCGGCTCAGGGAGCCATCGTAGTCGCAGTCGTCGTCGGTAGTAGGTAGTAGGTAGTAGGTAGTAGGTAGTAGTAGTAGGTAGTAGGTAGTAGGTAGTAGGTACTAGGTAGTAGGTAGTAGGTAGTAGGTAGTAGGTAGTAGGTAGTAGGTAGTAGGTAGTAGGTAGTAGGTAGTAGTAGGTAGTAGGTAGTAGGTAGTAGGTGGTAGGTGGTAGGTAGTAGGTAGTAGGTAGTAGTATGTAGTAGTATGTAGTAGTAGGTAGTAGGTAGTAGGTGGTAGGTAGTAGGTAGTAGGCAGTAGGTAGTAGGTAGTTGGTGGTAGGTAGTAGTAGGTAGTAGGTAGTAGTGGTAGGTAGTAGGTAGTAGTAGGTAGTAGGTAGTAGGTAGGAGGTAGTAGGTAGTAGGTAGTAGTAGGTAGTAGTGGGTAGTAGGTAGTTGTCGTCACAACAAGTTTAAACAAGCACAAAGAAAAGGCCAGGGACACAGGATCAAATTAATAGGGGGTAGTAGCGCAGATTGTTGATGGGGGACCGGCCCTTGTGAGGGGTACCCTTCGTGAGCTTGTCAAATGATTGGTTTTAATTGTTTTTTAATAAGGCAATTTATAGGCCCTGAGCCCTAGACATTTTTAAGGTTTTCATCAAACATGTAGTAGGCAGTAGGTGGTGATGGTGGTGGTGGTGGTGGTGGTGGTGGTCGTGGTAGTAGTAGCACGTAGCGGTAGCAGTAGCAGTAGCAGTAGCAGAGCAGGAGCAGCAGCAGCAGCAGCAGCAAGTAGCCAGTAGCTAGTAGCAGCAGCAGCAGCAGCAGGAGGAGGAATTGATTAATCCTGACTTCACATTACTAGCGATGGCCTCCAACATAGAAGCGATGGCCTCCAACCTACTAGCGATGGCCCCCAACCTAATAGCAATGGCCTCACATATAGCGATGGCCTCCAACCTAGAACTAGCCATGGCCTCCAACCTAATAGCGATGGCCTCCAACCCAACTCCAACCAACCAGCGATGGCCTCCAACCCAATAGCGGTGCCTCCAACCTAACAGCAATGCCCTCCAACCTACTAGCGATTGCCGCCATCCAAATAGCCATGGCCTCCAACCTATTAGTGATGGCCTCCAACCTAAGAGCGATGGCCTCCAACCTACTAGCGATGGCCCCCAACCTAATAATATGGCCCCACACCTAGTAGCGATGGCCTCCAACCTAGAAGCGATGGCCTCCAACCTACTACCGATGGCCCCCAACCTACTAGCGATGACCTCCAACCTAAAAGCGATCCAACCTACTAGCGATGGCCTCCAACCTAAGAGTGATCGCCTCCAACGGAAGAGCGATGGCCTTCAATCTAAAAGCGATGGCCTCCAACCTAATAGCGATGGCCTCCAACCTAATAGCGACGGCATCCAACCTAAGAGCGATGACTTCCAACCTAATGGCGGTGGCCTCCAACCTAGTATCGATGGCCTCCAACCTAATAGCGATGGCCTTCAACCTAATAGCAATGGCCTCCAACCTAATAGCGATGGCCTCCAACCTAATGGCAATGGCCTGGGAACTAATAGCTATGCCCTCCAACCCAATAGCGATGGCCTTCACCAGCCTAATAGCGAAGGCCTCAAACCAAAGAGGAATGGCATCCAACCTAATAGCAATGGCCTCCACCCTGAAAGCAATGCCCTCCAACCTAGTAGCGATGGCCTCCACCCGAGTAGCAAGAGCCTGCAACTTAATAGCGATGGCCATCTAAGCTAAGAGCGACGGCTTCCACCCTAATTGCGGTGGCCTCCAACCTAGTAGCAATGGCCTCCAACCTATGAGCGATGGCCTCCAACCTAGAAACGATAGCCTCCAACCTACTAGCGATGGCCTCCAACCTACTAGCGATGGCCTCCAGCTTGAAGCCATGGCCTCGCGCCTAATGGCGATGCCCTCCAACCAAGAAGCGATGGCCTCCAGCCTACTAGCGATGGCCTCCAACGTACTAACAATGGCCTCCAACCTAGAAGCGATGGCGTCCAACCTATTTGAAAATGCCCTCCAACCTAGTCGCAATGCCCTGACCCAACGATCGATGGCATTCAACCTAAGAGCGATGGCCTCCAACCTACTAGCGATGGCCTCCAACCTAATAGCAATGGCCTCCAACCTAATAGCGATGGCATTCAACCTAGAAGCGATGGCCTCCAACCTACTAGCGATGGCCTCCAACGTACTAGCAATGGCCTCCCACCTAGAAGCGATGGCCTCCATTCTAATAGCGATGGCCTCCAACCTAGTAGCAATGCCCTCCAACCTACTAGCGATGGCCTCCAACCTTATAGGAATGGCATCCAACCTAACAGCGATGGCCTCGAATCTAATAGCGATGGCCTCCAACCTAATAGGGATGGCCTCCAACCTACCAGCTATGGCATCCAACCTAATAGCGATGGACTCCAATCTAATTGCGATGGCCTCCAACCTAGTAGCGATGGCCGCCAACCTAATAGCGATGGCCCCCAACCTGCCAGCAATGGCCTCCAACGGCCTCCAATCTAATTGCGATGGCCTCCAACCTAGTAGCGATGGCCGCCAACCTAAGAGCGATGGCCCCCAACCTACCAGCAACGGCCTCCACCCTACCAGCTATGGCCTCCAACCTAATAGTGATGGCCGGCAACTGAATACCTAATAGCAATGGCATGCACCTAAAAGCGATGGCCTCAAACCCTGATAGCGATGGCCTCGAGCCTAACAGCAACGGCCTCCAACCTAATAGCGATGGCCTCCAACCGACTAGCCATGGACTCCAACCTAATAGCGATGGCCTCTGACCTAATAGCGATGACCTCCAACCTAATAGCCAAAGCCTCCAACCTAATAGCGATGGCCTCCAACCTAATAGCGATGGCCTCCAACCTAATAGCGACGGCATCCAACCTAAGAGCGATGACTTCCAACCTATGACGATGGCCTCCAACCTAATAGCGATGGCCACCAACCTTAATAGCGATGGCCTCCAACCTACTAGCGATGGCCTTCAACCTAAGCCTACTAGCGATGGCCTCAAACCTAATAGCAATGGCCTCCAACCTAAAAGGGATGGCCTCGAACCTAATCGCAATGCCCTCCAACCTAATAGCAATGGCCAGCAACCTAATAGCAATGCCCTCCCACCTACTAGGGATGGCCTCCAACGTAATAGCGATGACCTCCAATCTAAGAGCGATTGCCTCCAACCTAATAGCGATTCCTCCAACCTAATAGCGATGGCCTCCAACCTACTAGCGACCAATACCGAGGGCCTCCAACCTGAAAGCAATGGCATCCAAGCTATCAGCGATGGCTTCCAACTTAATGGCGGTGGCCGGCCACCAACCTAAGAGCAATGGCCTTCAACCTAATAGCGATAGCCTCCAACCTAATAGCGTTGGCCGATGGCCTCCAACCTAATAGCGGCGATGGCCTCGGAACTAATAGCTATGCCCTCGAACCCAATAGCGATGGCCTTCAGCGACCTAATAGCGAATGCCTCCAACCAAAGAGGGATGGCATCCAACCTCATAGCAATGGCCCTGAACCTATGAGGGCCTCCAACTTAACCTAATTTACTACTTGCGATGGCCTCCAACCTAATAGTGATGGCCTCCAACCTAAGAGCGATGGCCTCCAACCAAATAATAGCGCTGGCCTCCTAATAGCAATGGCCTCCAACCTAGTAGCGATGGCCTCCAACCTAATAGTCACGGCCTCCAACCTAAGAGCGGTGGCTTTCAACCTACTAGCGATGGCCTCCAACCTAATAGCGATGGCCTCGAACCTAATAGAATGGCCTCCAACCTAATACCACCCAAATAGCGATGGCCTCCAACCTAATAGAAAAGGCCTCCAATCTAACAGCGGTGGCCTGCAACCTACTAGCGATTACCTCCAACTTAAGAGCGATGGCCTCCAACTGAATAGCCATGGCCGCCAACCCAATAGCAATGGCCTCCAACCTAACAGGGATGGCCTCCAACCTAATAGCGATGGCCTGCAAGCTGATAGCGATGGCCTCCACCCTAGTACTGATGGTCTCCAACCTAATAGTGATGGTCTCCAACCTGGTAGGGATGACGTTACTAATAGCCATGGCCTCCAACCTAATAGTGATGGCCTACCACCCTAG